CACCAAGGTCCACATCACCCACATTCGGGTTCTCAACACGACGAATAGTTATTGTCATCAACCCGCTTCCGTAGTCGTAGCCGTAGGTTATGAAGCCCTCCTCAAGCCGTTTGACATACTTGTTCCCCTAAGGGCTACCCCTTCCAAACCCACCTACTGTACCCCTACCCATCCACGCCATCAGCAGCCACGCTCTCCAGCACCGCCTTGGCCGCGAGCTTGCCGCTCTTCACCGCCCCCTCCATTGAGTCGATGTAGTCCTGGTACGTGTAGCTGCCGGCGAGGAAGAAGTTGTCCACGCTAGTCTTCTGCTGCGGTCTCAACTTGTCCTTGCCCGGCGCCTCGCGATACAAGCTTTCGCCGAGCTTGACCACGGAGCTCCACGTACATGTCAGCTCGCGCGACGACGGGAACAGCTCCTGCACCTGCGCGAGCACCCTCGCCACCACGTCCGCGTCCTTCCGCCGCATGTACGGGTCGCCCGGCGTCAGCACGCACTGCATCAAGCTCCCTTCCCCCTCCCTGTAGTAGTCCGTCGGCGACGTCACCGCCAGGTCGGCAAAGCACGAAAAGTCCGTGTCCGCCGAGTAGAGCAGGTTGTCCAACCCGTACCCCTTCCCTTCCCCCGTGCGCCGCCTCTTCTCCTGGTCCGCGAGCTCCGTCACCCACCCGTCGAACCGCAGCTGCACCGTCACCACGGGCACGGGCTCCAGCTGGTACAGCTTGTCAAACTCCGCGTACCGCTCGCGCCATTCGGCGGGGATGAGCCGTTTCGCACCCCCCACGTCGCATGCCGCGATGTAAATATCCGCCTCAACGTTCTCCGTGCTGTTTGCGCCGTCGGCAATCTCCAGGCCGGTGACGCGGATCTCGCCGTCGCCGGCCGTTTCATACTTGACCTGGCGCACTTTGCGTCTGAGATGAAGCGTGGCGCCGCGGGCCTCGATGTACTTGAGGATGGGGCCCGTGAGGAAGTCGTTTGGGCTGCCCTCGAGCATGCGCAGGACGGAGGCCTCGGAGCGGGCGGCGAAGAGCTGGAAGATGGTGAGCATGCAGCGCGCAGACATGCTGTCGCAGTCGATAAAGCCCAGGGCGTAGGCGATCGGGTTCCACAAGCGGTCGATGGAGCCGCGTGAGCCGCCCTTGGACAAGAACCAGTCCGAAAACGAGACGTCGTCCAGGGCGCGGATGTCCTTCATGGCGCCGTCAAAGTCGACGAGCCCCTTGACGATGACGCTGGACCCCAGCGCCATGGCGTTGCGCACTTTATCGACAATGCCGAGCTGGGTAGTAGCGGCGAAGGCCTTGAGCCCATTAAACGGGGCGCCGACGGCGCCCAAGCGGAAGTCAAGCTCGCCCTTGACGCCGCCCTTGTTGACAAACTGGTGCGTGTGCTCCTTGAGCAGCAGGTGCTTGAAGGCGCCGACCTTAGCCATGACGTCGAAGAGGTCGTAGTAGCATCCGAAGAAGACGTGCAGGCCCATCTCGATGTGGTTTCCGTCGCGGTCGACCCACGACCCGACCTTGCCGCCGGCGAACGGGCGCGTGTCGTACAGGGTGACGGCGCAGCCGGCGTCGGCGAGCTCCATGGCGGTGACGAGGCCGGCCAGGCCGGCGCCGACGATGGCGACGCGCTTTCCCCTGGCGCGCGGCGGCGCCGGCACCTGGTCGACCTGCCACACGCCCTCCGCCAGCGACATGCGCGCGGCTCGGCGCGCGCGGCGCGGCGCGGGGCGGCGCGCGCGCGGCGACGCGAGGGCACGCGCCGCCGGGATCGGCGACGCGAGCGGCGCGGCGATGAAGGCCATGGCGGAAGGTGCGCGCCGGTGCGGGGGGGGGGGGGGGGGGGGGAGAGGCTGCACCCCGTAGACGGAAACGAAAAA